ATTATGTGTGGTGAATGAGGCTTGTGAAAAATTTAATTTTAAGAAGCATGGAGTCATTCATTACCTGGCAATCAGAAGGAGACGGGGCACTTCCAATCTCAGTGAGGCTTTTTCAAAGCACTTTCGCAAGCTTTATCTCATTGAATTTTCACAACAAGCCAGTGAAGTGGGTTGACCTGGACTTATTATCCTTATTTTATAGCTGAGAAAAGCAAGATACTGGCAAGTCCCACCGTTATAAGAGAGAAAAACAGAACCAGGAAAGAAGCAGCTTGATGCTGCCTTGGAGACTGAAGCCTCACCTTCAAATGTTCTGTTCCAAGTCTGCTGGATAATTTTCCCTCCATCCTTCTTGCTGTAACCAGCTCTGAGCACTTCATGTAAAGCCAGGACGTAGAGGAGGATGGCATCATGGAATCCTTCAACAAACATGTTAACCTGGAAAGGAAAGCCCAGGTGAGTGAGCCCACGCACCAGGTGACTCACATTCAGGAATCGCGACTCACATTCAGGAATCATGACTCACACTCAGGGCAAAAGAGTCCAACTCAAGGCTGCAGGCAGTGGCAGAGGTGTGCAGGAGTAGCTAACAAGTACCACGCCACAGGTTTCCTGGGACCAGCTTAGTCAGGAAACCCTTTCCCCCACTTGGGATTCTGGAGAGCAGACAAGATGTCACAGAAGTCAAGAAAATTGTACCTGTGGGCCAGGTTACTATTCCAGGTGCAACAGCCTTTGCCCACAGTGCCCTCTGCACACTTGCCCTCCTTCTTCCCCACAGCTGCTCTCTACCTCAAGCCAGCTTGAGTCCAGCCTCCCCCTTGAGGTCTCCTCCACCTTCACCAGCCCCTGTGATGTCTCCACACTCTGCACATGGAACAAAACTAAAAGAACAGTGGGAGTCGCTATACTGTTTTCTGTAGTGGCTGCACAAATTGCAGACTTACCATAGGATCCGGCCATCCCACTCCTGCGCAGGTATCTGGAAAAAACTCCAATTCAAAAAGATACATGCACCCCAATGTTCACAGCAGCACTATTTACAAATAGCCAACACATGGAAGCAACCTAAATGTCCATCGGCAGATGAATGGATAAAGAAGATGTGGTGTATACATACGAAGGAATTCTACCCAGCTATTAAAAAAGAATGAAGTAGTGCCATTTGCAGCAACATGGATGGACCTAGGGATGATCCTACTAAGCGAGTCAGACAAAGACAACTATCATCATATGATACCACTTATATGTGGAATCAAAAAAACTGATACAAATGAATTTATATTCAAAAGAGAAAGAGACTCACATAGAAAACGAATTTATGGTTACCAAAGGGCAAAGGAGGGGGTGGATAAATTAAAAGTTTGGATTAGCAGATACAAACTACTATATATAAAACAGATAAACAACAAGGTCCTAATGTACAGCACAGGGAACTATAGTCAATACCTTGTAATAACCTATAATGAAAAGGAATATGAAAAAGTATATATATAGTGTATAACTGAATCACCATGCTGTACAACAGAAACTAACACAACATTGTAAATGAACTATACTTTGATATGAATTAATTAAGCTAAGAAAAAAAGAAAGAACAGTAGAGATCCACACAGTCATATTCAGATACTACTGGGTGCCCAGCAGAGCGCTGAGGGTGCAAAGGCGTGGGCACCGCCACTCCTGCCTGCCCGGCATTCATGTCCTCTCTTCTACCAGCGTTAACATCTCAGTTTCTCTTTCCAATTTGTGTTCTGAGGAGTTTCAGTGCATCTGGCCACTCCCTACCTCCAGTCCCTGCCAAGCTCCAAGGACAAGAATGGAGACAGGCCATTGGTTTATCTCAGTTGAGTCATTCAGAAACACACAACTTCACGTGAAATCGGAGAAGTCACTTAATCTCTCTGATCCTTGTTTCCTTCTATGAGCACCATTTGGCATGTTCTGATACCACATTTCAACCCATTGTAACATTCACTGAACACGAAATGGGCAAATACAATCTTGAAACACTTAGTGGCTTACAAATTCTGTTCAAGTGTACCCCAAAATTCAAGCCTTCTGATTTCAAGTGTCAAGAATGGAATTCCACGCAGCAGAATGGATTGGGCAGCCCACGGACAACCTCAGGGAGGCATTGTGAGGGGTATTTCTGCCCCAGCCCTAGAAAGAGACCCCGGAGAGAGAGAGCCACCCGGCTCTGCACCATCTGGTCCAAATACACAAGCGGCCACAGAAGACAGCGCTCAGTGTCTGGTTCTTCTTGGCCTGGTCCCACCATGAAGGACAGTCAGTCCTGTTTGCATCACAGAAGCAAATACTTCAGAATTGCCAAAGCCTCGTGCTAAGAGGTCGGCTAGAATACAGTCAAAGAGCCTGGGCTCGCGACCCAGCTCTGCCGCTCCCTGGCTGGGTTTCTACACCACTCTGGGTCTCAGTTTTCCCCATCTGGAAAATGAGGAAAATGGTAGTACCTATCTCAAGGGGTTGCCATTATGTTTAAGTGAATTAATAAATGTAAAATATGTAACAGTCAGTGCTCGCTGTCAGCTTTTGTTGTTATTGTCTAACAGAGAATTATAAACCTGAGCATCTGCTTAGCTTCTAATTCCTAACGGCAGTGTTCAGAAAACAAGTGATCTGCTTACTGGTACAGCATAGCTCACTGACCCACTTCACGCTTAATGGAAAATAAGACTCCTCGTTCATGCTTTGATCTCCCATACAGTTCTCTTCCACAGTGTCACGTCCGTCATTCCACCCAACTATGATGGGTGCAGCCCAAGCTGGTCAAGTCCACTGGGACAGGCGGAGGACGGAAAAGTGCTGGTTCACAGGGGAGTCTGAGTTCACTGCTAGACCCCAAGTCTAATCCTAGCCCTGATACGCTACGTAATCTCTCTAATCTCCAACTCCCTTATAGGCTGAGCGGGACTTTAGTGCCCACTCATCTCCTAGAGCTCTTCTGGGGATTAAATAAACACTTGCATGTAAAGCATCTCAGACAGTTCTGGGGCCCATAAAAGCGAATGGTGGACACCGGCTCTTACCCTTCGCCATCAAGCTCAGAGTCATTATTTTTTAGGCAAAACAGAATGGTGTAGAAATAACATCTACCAGTCAAAGATAATTTGCTGCTGATTTGGCTCTGCTCATTCAGTTTTCCAAAGAAATATGAAAGTTTCACGTAAGCCATGACGTCATCATGGCTTGAGAAAGTACTATGAGGAGTCAGTGAGTTTTAATGAGTGGGCTTCAGCTGTGCAACTTAATCCTCAGACCACAGTAAAGACACTTTTTTCCCAAAGGATCTGTCTTCTCTTTGATAACTGTATAAAACCCACCCTGCTGCAGAGGGAAGAACCACAGAATGGTGGAACGTGGGATGTGTCAGATGCCTTTGAAAAGCTCTGGTCTAATCCAGCCCTTGCATTGAGGACAAGAGCATCACTCTTCCTCAGTCTTCCTGCATTTTGTAAAGGAGTGTTGTTCTGTCTATACTTCCCGTTCCTGGGGAGCCTAAGACAGCCCCTACTTAGCTCATGACATCATCTGTCCACTTCTCTCCCTCCTCCTTCTCCAAATCCTAACCCAGGACCACCATGCTGCCATTGGCCACCCAAAGCCCTGGAGATGTACCCCAGTACCAGCCTTAACCTGGCCCTTCTCCTTCCTTCTTGATATGCCCCCTAACCCTCTACCATCCAGGATGGGAAGAACAATTACTTGACTGAAGGAAACATGAACTTGGATTACTTTTGATCTCATGGGTTTAATGGTAGAAGAGAATGCACAGGCTCTAAACACATGCCCAGGTCTGAAAACTCATCTGCAACTCATCTGCAAATGAATCACAAAATTGCCCTTCTCTCCTCTCAGAGTCCCTGAGTGTCTCCCTCTCCTGCCAAAATTAGCAGGCGAGCTGCCAGCTCCCACCGAGGTTCACTAGCACCCCAGCCTGCTGTGGGGGTGGCTTCATAACACCTATCTCATAGCACCTCAAGCCAGAAGCAAAACCCCAGAGACCGTCTTTTCCCGAGGAGAACATTCTTACACCTACACGTGTTTTTTAATGGGAGGAAAGCCCGTTAGCACATTATACACTGAAAATTAGAGGTGCAAATTTAAAAAAAAAAAGAAGAGAGAGAGAGAAATCAATCCAGACTATTAAGTTGCCTTTGGAACACTTTCCACTGGACCTCCGGGCTGAAAGGAACCAGGTCATCTGGTCCGTCGCCCTGCCTCTTTACAGAACAACACTTGGACCGCAAAGTCCTGACCGACAGATCGTGGTGTCCTTACTGACAGATCATGGTGTCCTTACTAACGGGAGAAACAAGACTCCCTCTTCTGACCAACCTGTTCTAGTAGTGAGCCTCATTTCTAGCCAGAAAGGCCTTCCTTACTGTCATCAGTCATAAGTCTCAACTCCTAAACGCAGCCATTGCCCTGCTCGGTGCCACACAGAGTTAAGAGAATACAGTTCATGAGCCCTCGGAGTTTACAGCCCCCACCAGACAGCCCGGCCGCCCACACGAGCATGGGGATGGGCCCTACACGAGGCCCCTGTGAAGTGGACCCCACGAGGGACAAGTGCCAGGGAAATAATTATCTGTGCTGAGTGTCAAATAAAGTGTCTAGCGTTCAAACAAGATGGAAATCACTTACCATCTCCCACGCATTCGGACAGATTGCCAGAACAAGGACGCATGCCGTCCCATCATTTTGTCTCAGTTCTCGGATTTTGTCCTCTGTAGTTGGCCAGCAGCGGGTATCCCAAGGAAAAGAAAGCCACCTCTGCCTTTGGTCTTTCCCGCTGATGGCGCCTGTCGGCCATGTCTGCCTGCTAGTGTGGGTGTTTTCCTTAATCTTCTATCGTGGGGAAAGCCGAATAGGAATCTAGTTATTTTTAAAACTGAGCGTAAAGAGTTGCCATTCGTGACCTGGCTCCTACCTGTGACAGAGAGCCAGATCTTTCTCATTTCTCTCTGGGGAGACAAATTCAGAGACAAATCCCCCAGTGCTTGTCTTCCAAATGAGTCAGCAGAGCATGCTATGTGCCTCAGCTGGTCTGGCAAGTGAGTGAATAATCCAGCAGCAATCTGGCTCCCAGGGCCGTCTGGAGCTCTGAGAAAGGCTGCAAAGCTCTCAGACATAGGCTAGTGGAAGAAAGCCATCAACATCCAATGCAAGGCTAGGCTGGCCCAGGTACCCACATGCACTTAAGCCTGTCAGAGAGTGGTCTGTCTTCCTGATCACAGACCAATGGTTCCCAGTGCGAAGGAGGCTTTAAAGCAGAAGGTGTTGCGCAGGAGTTCTCAAGAGTTTTTTGGAAAGACGTGACCTTTAACCTCCCATTCAGTTAAAGGGGAGATCAGGGAAGGGGAAATTTCGATCGCAGGCAGATAAGAGGAGGGACGGGTCCGGGACCCACTTCT